ACCACACCAGCGGCACATGCCCCCGCTGCGACGCCCTCGCCATGCTGGCAGCAACGCCCCCTTGCCATGTCAGCAGCAGTGTCCCCAGCACAATGCCCCGCTGCAGCGTCCCCGCGGCAATGCCCCACCGTGCTGGCGGCAATGCCCCGGTGGCCCTGACACAGAGCACTTGTGTTCTGGCTCCGCCTGGCCTCTGCTCTGAAACACAGTGCGTCTGCGTGCGTGAGTGCATATGCGTGTGTGCATGCACGCGTCGGGGGCATCTCTGACCCAAGATGATGTCCTCCAGGACTGGGTCTCTGGGCAAAGCGGCAGCTTTAGAGGAAGATATAAGGCCCGAACTCTGACCGCACAAGTGCCCCCTCACCTCTGAAGTCAACAGGAGTTTGGTCTCTAATTTCCAAGGAAGCCAACCGTGAGTGGCATATAATACTTTGCAAATACTAGCCCAAATATGCTATCTGGAGAATCATTTTGTCCATAGTGTCAATGAGCTAGAACGTGTTCATCCTGACCCCAAGCACCGTAGCACGCTTGGCAAAAGCGGCCACATTGCCACCTCCGTTAGATAAACGAATCCTCTAAAATGCTTATGTTTATAAGGGAATGGCATGTGCAGGGCTAGAAACGTATAGGAACGTATAGAGAGTGAGCAACGAAATGGCAACTTGCCATAAATAAAACGGAGACAGAGACAAGGCCCTGCACCATGAGAGAGGGGAAAATACTTAATAAATGACCTAATGAGAGAACAGCGTAGCTGCTGCGCTAAACAGCCCAAACCTTAGGGCAAGCCGGGGTGCAAAGTGCAAACGGCATGCATCCTCCCTGTGGAAGTTTGTCTCATTTAGGGACAGTCACGCAAGTGGTTCCAGGTCCGGGGGACAACTGGTCTGAAAAGTTGTGTGCGAAAGGGGAGACAGCGCGACTCGGGGATCGACGCTGCCCGGGGCTCTGCAGCGCCCGCCAACGCGCCCGACCGCCCGGGGCTGCAGGGACCCCTCCCCAGCGGAGCCGGGCTTTGCTATAGCAGCGTCCCCGGAGGAATAAAGGAATCGGTGCAGCGCTCAAGCGTCTCGGCCCGTCCAAGACCCTGAGGTCTTGTTTTGTAAGGGGCAAGGTATCCTCAGATTTAAGTGTCTCAAAAAGATCCTCCAGAAAGTGAATCCAATTCAACTAAAAATGTCAATTTAAAGTTAGTTAAATTGCCTTCAATCGCAGCGCTGATCTTCTCGTTCAGAAATAAAGAGGCTCTAATCTGGCTTCACTTAAATCAGTCTTAACGGAATTAAGGCCGCTTTAACTCAGAAAGACAGCATTTGCAAAGTGATTTAAGGCAACTGAATCAATCCTGTTTAAAAAGTAACTCTGGTTAACTTTCCTCACTGTCCTCGTGTAGACAAGTCCTTAATTTTCTAACGCGTACAACATGCTTGGTGAGCCTCAGATAATGTTCAAAGCACTCGCAGAAGGGAATTAACTGTCAAGTCAGCTCCAACTGAACTGTTCAGAAAACAAGTGAAAATATTCTCCCAGCGCTCGGCATTAGGACGACTGAGCTCAGTAGCTCTCCTGACTTCAAGGTAAGTACTTCTCTACATCAGCTGAGAATCTTTCCCAATATTTAAAAAAAAACAACCACCACCACCAAGGAAAATTGTGCAAACTGTGCTGTGTCCTTAGCTGCTCTGGGGCAGGTCCGCTGCGCCCACAACCCCGCACAGCTCAGCTCGTGGGAAACGAGGCCCTGGGCACGGCCACACACCTTACTGCCCATCAGCTGAGCCACACAGCCGGTCTTTCTTTCTGCAATTGGTCTTAATTATCCCATTAAAAACCATTAGATTTTACATATAAAGAATTGTGCCAGAGCCCCTGTGGCATGCAAGCTATTTCAAAGCAATGGGCAACCACTGCCCCAGGAGCCGCGCTCCTCCTCGTGGGCATCCCGCCCGCCCACAGCTGCTGCTACGGCTGCTGATGGCAGCACACCCGCAAACAAACTCTGGAGATCGCTGAAACATGGGACTCTGAGCAGCTCCAGCCATGCTGCCCTGTGACCCTGCCATCTCCATTCCCACCCAGGCCTTCTCCTGAGCTTGGACACGCGAGACCTGCTCTGGGGTCAGCTGAGACAGACAGGAGGGAGACTTATTACTAAGGAGAACAAATCATTAGGGTTTGAAGACTGGCTTGACAGCCAGTGGGTATTTCTGACACTTGTCCAATACAGAGGTATCCTAACTAACTATAGAAGCTGAGATCAGATTATCCATCATGGCTTTATGATTTTAGTCTACGTTAATGTAGAGAGAAGTATAAATCAAATTCTTGCTGCTTTTGAAAAACTAATAGGCACTCCCTTGTTTCCCTAAAAAAAAAACAAACAGAAATTCTTTGAACTGCTGCATAACTCTTATTAGCATTAATTTTTTGCTGCCAGTAACACTCTACTCTTAAAAACACCAGGAGCACCACCACTTTCTCATGACAAGCCTCAAAGGCCTGCAAAGCTCTCTGCTTTCAGTGAAACTCCAGTATCGTTAAAAGCTTTGGGAAGATTCCCGGCGAGTTCAGTGGGAGGTGGACCAAGGCCTGAGGGGGTATGGCAGAGTCCTAGCACATTGTCACCTCGCCAACAACTCATTCACTTGAGGAGCGAATGAAGGCCAAGAACTAATCGCTCAGTCCCAGTGGCTCTCCACAGCAGTCACCATCTCCAAGCTGCAGCCTGCTGCCCTCAGATTCCTTACTGGTGCAAAGAGGCACCTCTGCATGGTCCTCACCACTGTGAGCAAACAAACTGAACAGTGCCAAAGCTGGAAACACCGAGGCTCATCACCCTCCACCTCCTCGGAGGAGTGCCTGCCTGGCTCCAGCCCAGGGACATGAAGCTGGCTCCAACCCATCGCCAGTTAGACACACTAACGCAGGACTCTGCCTGAACTAAATGGTCTGCGAGACACTGAAAAATTTTGCAGCCTGTGCCACAATAGGATCGTAGTCTAAGATTTCAACAGGTTTAGTGTAACAAGATTGATATCTCCAGTGAGGAGACCTGTGGCCTATGCTGCAGGTAATGAGCATTTGATGAGAACCATGGAACTGAGGGCCTACGGTGATGCTGAAGACATTGCATGACTGCTGGTATGATATTTTGATCAGGCTTACATTTTGAGGACCTAGCTACAAACAGCCATTAACAAACCTGAAGCACTTTTCTCCAAATACTGAGCACCAGTCAAGATGTATCAACCAAATTTTAATTTGGCAAATCCAGTTTTCTCCTTCTAAGTTTCATACAGAGTTTTAAATGAAGATAACGTTCTTCTCTTCCTGCAAGAGCTAAGAGCTGACAGCCACATTTCAGTGGTGGATCGAATATTTCTGTCTATTATTCTGAAGAAAAAACAAGGTTTGCAGGAAGAGCCAATATCTTTTATTGGACCAACCGATACAGTTGGAAAAGCAGGCAAGCCTTTAGCTTTTCATTTTTATCCTTAAACCATCACAGCTACAACAACAGGCCTATAATTTTGAAGTGCTCTGAGATGAGAGAGGCTCTGTACTGCTATCCAAGTGAATTGTATTTTAGCCTCTAGATCTCTGGGCACCACGAGTCACTTCACAACCCTCTTACCTCAGCAAGCGCTTCTGCTTCTAGAGATTTCTGATCTCCAAGACTACTGTGTCTAGTCGATCCACAAGTCGATCTCAGCGGGTGGCCATCAGACAAGGCCTTCCTGTCTGGATAATTGATGCTCCCTGCACTGCCGAATGTCGCCATTCTGCGCTTTTCAGGACTCTCAATCCTGCCTCTGTTAAGTGGTATTTTGTGGGGGCTGCTAGGACAGGCCGCTGCTCGAGGAGGAGTGTCTATGCCAGGACCCAGCCCTCTCGGGGGGCTGTGGGTGTCCCCCCCGCTTCGACGGCGAGGAATAGCTGCACCGTCAGACCTCAATCTCACTCTGCAAAGAATTCATTACAAGACTAGGTCACCGTCCAACAGATCAAAAGCACCTGGATGCATGCTGTAAAATAATCTATCAGCTCTGAAAATTGAGATCAAACCAAATTCAAGCCTTCAGGCTTCCGAAGAACATGCTAAGAGGCGAGATACATATTTTAGAGAGTGCCAACAAAGAGAAAGTATTGTATTTTTTTTTTTTTAAGTTGTTAGGATCTACGTTAAGCAAGCCACATGAAAACCCCGTCTGTTTTCATATCCTTCTGTAACACTTACGAGCAGTTTGCCATCTATCTTGCCCTACGTGACATACTGACTTTCCCTGAACGCAACAGTAATCACCTCTGTGTTCATAGGAAAATAAGAGTTTCCCTACCGGCCCATTACTCCCCCAAATCCGTAGTCTGGAATATGATCTGTCGGAGACTGGATGTCATTTTTGGATGAGGCTTTATCATCCAGCAGGGGTCCACTGCTCGCCTCGCTGTCCGCCTTCTGACTCAAACTGTCAGAGAATGCATCATCCCTACAAAAAACGAGATGCCGTATGAGGCTGAAACGTAACGGGGCTCTTTACCTCAAAGAGAGGCTAGGATCCAACCAAAGCTCGCATCTGAACATTACCACTCCAGATCCAGACTTAACACAGGGCCAGACCAAGGCCACAGTGTTGGACATTATCCGGAGCTGGGGAAACACACGAATGTGAACCTCACATCCCCACATCCCCTGTGCTGTAGCTGCCATCTTAACGAATCCTGAGCACAGTACTTATAACAGAAGCGGCATCTGCAAAGGACTCTGGGATCTGCTACAGGCAAAGCGAGCAGTGAACAATGCCGTGTCAACATACACGTGGGCTAGGGCCAATATTAAGTCTGGATCGTGCCAAGTTACTCTGGAGAGCCAATGACAGATGGGGTTCAAGTACACTCTAGTATAGTAGTTAGCATTTAAAAGGCTGAACAAGAAACAGATATCTGAGTCAATAAATGGAAAGGCACAAGTGATCAGATCAAGATTAATCAGCAAAGTCATGAAACCTTGAAAAACCAGGCCACCAGTTACGGGGCTAAAGATGACCCTAGTGTAGAGACGTTATTTTAATGTGCTGGATTGACAGACCCTGCCAATACTCACATGTCTTGCACCACAATGTACTGGTGGGGTATGAGGCCATCCACACCGTTGTGTCTCCCTTCCCACCAGTCCTCCGAAGCCCGATGGTACAAGAGGAGCGAGGCCCCTTTCTTAAAGGAGAGCTCTCGTGGGGACCGTCCAATATAGTCAAACTTGGCTATGGCTTCAATCTGCTCCACTTCTGCAAAGGAGAGAAGCACAAATAAAGGAAGTCTCAGTTCAACAGTCACATGGGCACCCTGAACCCTAGGAAGAGGCATCTCACCTGAACAGCGCTAATGCTGCTGCCCCAGCTTCCTGACAGCATCTTATACTGAGTACAAACCATCTTACCTTTAGACCGATCAGTTCTTTTTGTTTTTCTAGCCTTCCTGAAATTTCTTACAGACTCACAAACTATTAGCAATTACCAAAAGCTACAAAACCAGATGGGGAGTAGCTGAAATTTCCCTGTGTGCATATGGCCTCTTTGCCTGCATATGCATTCTTCTACCTACATTTTAAAGTAACTTCTTTGGTTACAGACCTCCATTATTTTCTAGACTGGAGCCTTGTCAAACTGTGTCAGATACCATGATCAAAGCCCCACTTACCTTCTCTTCAACTCCTTTCCTTATCCTGGAGACAGCGTGGCCTGAATTACTGATGAGCAACCAGTCCCCCTTTGGGGATTCCCACAGAACCGACGATGCAAGTTCTGGCCACACAGCTACTCAGCACCGCACACAAACCACATCTGAGGCCCTTCCCAAACCTCTGCCTCACAGCTTCTCCCCTTTTCCCAATGTGAGCTCTACCACACATCAAGGATTTACAAACCGGGAGCTCAGGGCCCGAATTTCAAGAAGGCTGAGGATTAGCACTTCATTCAAGGAGGTGCACGCGCGGAGCAGCCTGCAGTTAGCGCACCACCCGGCCAGGAGCATCACGGTAGGAGCTGCTGGGGGCACGCAGGCCGGAGTCTGCTTTGCGTTTAGCAGCCTCGGGGGGAGCAGGCTGCAAACCTGCCTCCAGCTGGGAGCACCCTCTCCAGAGCACCTGCTGCAGCGGCGCCCTCGGGACTGGAAGGGCAGCAACCTGCACCCTGCCTCGCTGCGGTCCGAGGCAAACATGAGACGCAGGCTGCCACCGCCCCGCTAGCTCTAACCGCTTTCGGGGGCCAGCAGGAACGCAGTTAATGTAACTTGATTACTTGAGACACCCAACGCTTTCAAACCCTACCGGGGGACTGACAGCGCAGGAGAACGGGGACTGACAAGGCCGACGGCAAAGCTAAACACAGCACGTTAGCCTACTTCTTTCATATCTGTCACGTTCTCGCTAAAATATGGTAACTTGCTCCCTTCCGTCTGCCACGTCACTGACTCGTGGGCTCAGCACCAGCATCAGGATGCGACCTGCCTTTCTGCTTAGCAACAAAATCCTTATAGAGGGAGAGATACTGGAGGAGAGTCTGTGCAACACTGAATCAGAGCCCTGCCCTCTTCTCTGTCTCATGCCAGACAGCTCACTTCAGCAGACAGATTTTCACCAGCTTAAAATACATATCTGCGCTAATAGGAACGACACGGTGTTGGGGACTATTACAGCAGGATCAATAGGGAAAGCTCTCCGGAGGAAACGTAATAGGAGAGGCTATCAGAAGGGCTTTTCAGATGCACGATAAAACATGGAGTTTCTCAGCAGGGAGGGTGCATGGGGCGAGGGAGAGGGGAAGGAGGAATATGCAAATTCATAAAATAATGCTGCTCTTCTTTTCCACTCTTCCATTACAGTTAATCACCCAGAAACTCCAATCAGAACTATTAATGTGACCGTCCAAGCATAAAATTGGCTAAACGGTGGCTTGCTCTCCTTCAACTTTCAGTCATGTCGGCTCCTGTTTGTTGCTAGCGCTGAAAAACGTGGAGCGCATTTTATGCTGAGAGCAAGTCTTCAGCTGCCTGACCCTGCAGCTCCCTGGCCCAGCGCGTGCCAGCCAGCACGCAAGCCCTTCGTGCCACTCCTGCGAGCGCCAGGAAGGCATCAGCACTTTTGTAGGGGCAGAAGGCAATGGAAATAACGGCTATGAAGAAAGCAGACGACCGACGTGCGCAAGAGGACGTTCTGCAGGGCTCGAAAGCGCCCTTCAACTCAGCAACGTCTCGCAATTAGATATAGTGCTGTGGGGCTGCACGTTTGCAGTCCCTCAGCAGCGCCAGCTCAGTTCCCAGACTCGTCCCTCCCTCACCCTGCGACTAAACTGCAAACACTACCTGGGGTACGAGAAGCAAACAGCTTCTTCCGATTTGGGTATCGCGTTTTGTAACGAACACGCTCCTTGTCAAGCTCTGCCCCAGCGTCCCCATTTCAATGCTTGCCTTGGCGATCAGAGAGCTTCAAAGCTTTTTCTGAGATCCTATATGCAAAGCTCAGCTTGTTTACGCAGACGGTGCAGACAGACACGAGCTTATAGAAAGCTGGACGTGAGCCTCATCCAGAGTATTAACGAAATACTGATATGTTCAGTGAGGAATTCACATCTGGCTGCACCTGTCCACACAGTCTTAGCAAACAACACATCCTGGTTTACCCTCCAAAGCCAGGGCAGCTCGGCAGGTCTAACGGGGAAAAAAAAATAGCATGGATGTTTTCTGCCATCAAACAAAACCGAACAGACTGTGGGCAACACCAGGATGCAGCCATCTTAAACAAAGATGCACTGCGTTTTTGCAAAGAGGACAGCTGCTTGAAAGGATGTGATCCACAGCCCAAAGAAAGCAGCTGAAAGACTCCCTTGTTGCAGAGGGCTCCAAAGTGGACCACTGAAATCCCCTTTTTCCCACAATACATCCAAGGGCCTAGAGTGAACAGAGAGCTGGTCACACGTACACGCAGTCTTTCCTCAATTTCCCTTTCTGTTCCTGGGGAACCCATGTCACACAGCAAGTCCTTGCTGCTTTTCCCCACGTCCCTGCCATCACAAGGCCGCACGTAAACACAGGTGACAAGGAAAACAAAGCAAAAAGAAAAAGAAAAAAGAAAAATGGAATCTCACGGAACAATTCCAAACACAAAATCCCTCTTTATCCTGCCACGGGATGAGATGGCAGTGAAGGTTCATGCACATCCTGTAAAGGAAACCTGTATGGAATGTTTATGTAAACGCACGTGCGTTATCAAACGCACAGAAACATCTTCCCCAGCAAAGTGCCATACAGCCATCCAGCCTAATTTGATTAGGAGCAAAACACACTTTGCTTTCTTGCATGCATGACGCTTCTAACACAGACCCAATTTTCCACTAGTTATGTCCATTATGCTCACCGTCATCACTGGTGTGGGGCTCTGTGCCGTTGTCATGGTCAACTTCATCGATGGTGCCTGGCTCGCTGTGGGGGCTGTCACTAAAATAAAGTATATGGTGCTTTAAAAAAAGAATGAGATTCTGATCCCAAGATATTTAGCAAGAATAATTTGTTGGGGGAAAAATCTGGCCCCAGTGATACTTGAAGGAGCGACGCTTTTCATTTTCACAGGACTGAGAGGCGGTTCTTTGTTCGTCTTAAATCACAGCAAGTTCAGAGAACTGGGAACACTCTGAAACACCATGATCAGGCCCAGACTGTATGTTCTGTTGCTCATGTGTCTTACTCATATTTGGCGAAATAAGTATAAAATGATACCAATTAAAACTTTCCACTCACTCATTTACAATGAATTTTAACATTTTCTCCTCTGTTGGCATCAGTAACAATGGTGACATGTGATCTACATCAGGGAAGATTAGGTCTCAGAGATGTATAAAACTTTCAGATAAATCAGGTCAAGCCTATTATAAACCCTGGTTTGCTGAAACTCAGATCTGAACGTTAGTTTAGAATTCCAGCATCCTCAAGATAAATATATATCATCATTTAGTGCTCTAATTTGAGGGTTTTTTTGTTTTTATTTTTGTTTTGCTTTTTACAGGGAGAGTTTTCATATTCTGTGGATAGAGGTAGGGGGAATGATATACTAGCAAAAAGCTATGCACACAGCTGATTCAGTCCACAGTTCACTCGTGCAAACATACCTGTCTAACACTGACAAAATAAAAGGACCTGGAAGGACACAGAGAAAGAACCAAACCAGACTTCAGACTAGAGAATTTCGTCTGATTAAATTATTATGGAACTATAAAACTTTACTCAAAACTCCGTCTAGGAGGAATTTGGTTACAATTGACCTATTTTTTTTTTTTTCCTACAAAAACACTTCTGTGAATCTGAAGCTAAAATAATTTTTATAAATATTAATACTCATATTTAAGAAAAAACAAAAATGTTGCTCCTTAAGTTTTTATCAAGATTTTAATGCTGAATCAGTATAAGAGAAATGAAAAAAAAAATTAAATGAAACTGTCTAGTCTATTTTTATTGGCAAGGCTAAAATTAAATGCAAAACTAAGGTATAAGTACAGACTAATTATAAAAGTATCTTCGTTTTACAAAGATATTTATAGCTAAGAAGCACGAACGCAGCCTGGTATGGAATCAGATACTCAGCTAGTGTAAAACAGCATAAAGATATCAACTGTGTATCACTTGCACATCTAATTCATAATGTTTAACAGAAATAAATGCAAAAGGGCATGCCCTCCTCGGAGGGGCAAATTCATCGCAGAACTGTGCTCAGCCGAGGCTCAGCTTTCCTGAAGAAAGATTAAGCCTGAACTTCCCCAAGGCTCTCTTCATACCCCATCCTCACGGGGACCTGCTCTCGAAAGCCTTTCTCCTACACTCCTATGAGCTGAAGTCACCTCCGTGTTTACCAGAAACCAAGCCAGAGTCCTTCATTTTGTCATGGATTCACTCTTAACTTACAGCACAAGCAGGTCACACTAAGGAGGGGATCTGGCTTTGTTAAGTTGTAAAAATGAAGTCACTTACTCCTGCCACCCATTCCTTACCAATACTCCTCGCCTCCAGTCATGCACTTCTCGTAGACAGGTCCTTCCAGTTCTCTGTGGCTGGGGAAGATGCCCTCGTGATTAATGATGATGGTTTTGATGACCTCATTGACATGGGCTTGGCAGGATACCGGATCCTGCCCATCTGGAATGTGTATCAAAGTCGGCCCAAAGCAGATGGCCAGGTTGTAGGGATCCATCATGTTCTCATCGCTGTACTGCGACAAGCTGCAAGCACAGGCGTTAGAGGGGTACCGTCCCGACTTACTCTGTTCGCTCAGAAAAGTCCCCCACCAACAAAAGCCCTCCCAAAGTTCTCCCAAAAAACAAACATCAGAGCTGTGCGTCTTCCCCAAAGCACAGCCATGGCTAGGCAAGGCAGAAGAAAAAGCAAAATACAACTTTTCATAGCAATACCAACAACGGCTCACGTAACAAAGACAGGGAAGCCCTGAAAGAAAAGGAGGGCACGAAGGAACTCAGTGAAAGAGAAGGAAAGACTCACTGATTAAGGAAAGCAAAAAGATATCTCATGACAACGATGACAGCCCGGGGCAGAGTGACGATGATTTGCTGGATCTGGTGCACTCTCTCGGTGGGGTTCTCAATTTCTGGAACACATGGATAGAAAATAAACCTTCAAACTGTGTCAGGACCAGGCAGCACAGCACCGGAGGGCCTTGTTCCTGATCTAGGAGCCCACCACCCAAGGAAAACAACAGCGTGTTTCCAGATTTGATCCATCACTGGGCATTAAGGGAGCAAACTGATCATCAGGCATAGTGCTCTTCCACCGTGGAAGCCACACATACGTTCAGATACAGCATAAACAACAAACAAAGAGATTTCCATTGTTTTATTTTTAAAATGACAGTTTATGCATTATTTAGTTCACTCCGTTTCTCCAAAGCTTTAGTCGATACAGCCACTGGAAAAGGGAGCACTGCTTGGTTCTGTGTGGATTTTTTATTAACCTTACTCTCTTACAGGTTTAATTATCAGGTCATCCTCACTTTGGCACGGGCGTGCACTGGCACCGTGCTGCAACCCTGCGCGCAGCCGGGCACGCGCCAGCCCCCGCGCGGGCGCACACCAGCACCCTGCTGCAACCCTGGGCGTGCGCCAGCCCCTGCACCCCACTGCTGCAAGAGCCCTGCTCTGCCCCCGGCCCAAGGACGGACTCAGCACAGTTCCCTCAGAAGCTGCCAGCACGTGCCAACCCCCAAGGCTACTTTTTTTAAAGCTATTATCTGCTCAGTACGCTGTATAAATAGTTAATCCTGTGGCTTTTATCTTATGGAAAGGCAGACGGAGTATCGAAGCTCTCCTGAGACCAGCCAGCCCTAGACCCAGGGAACGAGCCATCATCAGGGGAGAGCTGCTTACTTTATTATGCTGGCTCAAACCTTGACACTTGCTAATCATAACAAAATTCACTGACAACACGTAGCTGGAGTGTCATTTGTTCCAAAATTCTGAGCAAAATTTGGCTGCAGTTCAAAAATGTAAATATGTGTTTTATTTATTTTGATTTTACAGATTTTTCCTTTTGAGGAATGTATTTAGCCCTTGTTACTGCTCACTGGCTTTTCTAGCTTTTCAGCTTGATTTTAGTTAAGAGAAGGAGATTTGTAAAAGAATCAAATAAATAAGAGCTGGATAAAGACAGATTGCAACAACAATAGATCTCTGTTCTGAAACCCAGAGGAATGAATCGTCTCGGCACACTTACATTTTTTCACTTAGCAAAATGCTTCAGCTGGCTGTAGTTCAGAGGAATTAATGGAGTAATCATCGATCGCTTCATAATACAGGCACACCCCCGAATGAACCTCTGCAAACAAAGTGCCTTTTCTATCCATCTGTTTCTCATGTGCACTTGAGAAACGTCTCCGTGTAAGCTCTCGGTCCCCGTAAAGCAGCTTGGTTTGTCCCCCGCGAGCTTGCCTTCCTCAGCACCCCAGCAGGGAGGGACGCGGCCCCGCAGCCTCCCGGGGCCTTCGAAGGCCCTGCGACGCGCACCCGCAGCGCCTGCTCGCAGCCCAGCGGGACGGAAGAGCTTGCAGCAAGGACGGCGGTCGGCTGAGGAGCGGTTCTCCGAGGAAGGTGGTTTCTTCCACCTGCGTAGGCTGGCACACCTATCACACAGCCTACATTTGGGTGACAGAATCGAGAAGCCGTTTAAGGCCAGATTTTTAATGGGAAGTAGGCACCTGACTTCATTTAAAATCTGTCCTTCATTCAAAGGTACCAAGAGCAGCAGTAAAGAAAGGAAAGACGAGGAAAAGGAAGGTTGTTATTGCAACTGAAAAATGCAGAAGGAGAGGAGAGAAAACCGTCCAGAAAATTAACAGATGATGTTTGCCATGAAAAGCTCCCAAAAAGCTTAATAATTGTGCAACTGGCCTTAATTCAGGATGTTTCCAAAGCACAGGCCTGGCTGCAAGTACACACAGTGGCGTCACCCAGCACCGAGCCCGTTTTCTGGCCCTGAGGCTGCAGGAGCGAACCCTGCAAGCTGAGCTAAAACACCCTGTCCAGAGCACGGGACTGGCGGAGAAAGAGCTTCCTTTGTTTGCCATGTTATAGGTGTGCAGCACTGTTTTACACATCAAAATTGAAAGTAACAGCAAATTTCCTGAAGCTACAACATAAAATAACTGCTCTTGAAAAACGAAAGCACCTTTTTCTCCGTCTGGAACAGGCCCATCTCCGCGTCATTCCCCTCTAGATATCATCCGTCTTCTTTGACATCACTTAATCTCTAGCAGTTAGGCGTATTAACATTAAGAAGAGGGAAAGCAGCCGGGAGCAGTGAAAGCCAAGGGAAGGACTCCAGTACGTGCTCACCAGTTGGTCCCACTGAAGCTCTCACACACTGCGACACACGCTTACGTGCTCTGGAACCCCAAAACAACACACTCTGGACACCTCTCTCGTAAAATAAAGTCATTCATAAGCCAAAGTGTACAACACACTCCATGATCTCTGAAGCATCAAATTCATTCTGCCTTTTTCCTTTTCCCCAGGGGAGTAATTTCCATGACTTGCCAATAAATATATGTCATCACTACGAGGTATTGAGAGAAATAAATCCCAGCTGGGATATCTGTTTCTTCAGTGGTAGAGGAATAGAGCTGGGAGTAGAATTCAGGACAGAGTAAAAAGCAATCAGACTCTTCCCCGAAGCAACCCGAGTTTTCATGGGGTTGCTCATGAAACCACAGCTCAACCTCTGCTCATGTCGCAAAGCACTTCCTGGTTTTGTTTGGGACAGGAAATGCAAATAGCAAATACTGTGAGAAAGATGGATTGGGTGAAGTTGAACCCAATTTTGCAGACGGTTTTCAAATAGCTAGGAGTTATTGACCACTGCTTTGTGTCTCGTGAAAGACACCAAGTTAAGGCAGCAAAACCCCTTTGGGCCCCAGAAGCCATGCCTGCATGACATTTGGTAAGCAGACAGAGGAATAGCCACGAGCATAGAGAGAGACCAGTAGAGGCAAGACAGGAACCCATCATGTTCAAGTAACCAGTGTCCTCTCCTGCACCACACACGCACGCAAGCTTGCTGTATGTGCAGACCATGAGTCTAAGCTTGAAGATGACTCTTGATGCCAAAATGTTATGAAGAGTCACAGCAAGATGTTTGACCTCTTCCACACTTCCAGCTGCTTCTCATCCCTGACAACGTACACCCTAAACGTCCTTTCCTAACAACCTCCGTTGCAGACCTATAGCCCTTCTTACAGCATGAGCTGCTGTCTGCAAAGCTCAGGTTTATTTGCAGCCTATTTAATGCTTCTCTTGTTCCACTCCAAGAACTCCCATCACATGTACTTACTTATAGTAGATATCAAATCTTGAAATCTTTCCTTAGGAAAGAGAGGGTTTTCCAGTCCTCGGAAATACAGCTTCAAGACTCCAGCCACTGAGTTAATGTCACGTTCATTTTGATCATCAGCAAGGGGATCTTCACCTGCCAAGAGAAGAGTTTTATTTCCAGCATTATGGCCAAGATGGACTAACACAGTAAGTTCCTCTCCCTAACTCACAGTGGAAAACCAGAATTTCCCAGAGCTCAGAAAACCCTCCCATGGGTGGAATGGTAACGCTATACGTTTTCTCAGCAACAGAACAGTTTAATAAGGTACTCTGTTATACAGCGTCACGCTGAGACCATGCTACAGCTCTACCTACAAAAACCCAGGGGACAGAGTTTATTGTGGAGATTTTAAACCTTTCCTGAAGGTGAAGATGTTATTAATCAGTTCTTCACAGTTTCCAGCCCAGTGCTTTTTTGCTTTTAAGGCAACAGCTTACAGGTCTGAGCAGATCTAGACATTGGTAGGTGATAGCCTGAAAAGACAGGGTTGGCTGGAAGATGCAGTTATGCCCCGGAACAGATAGAATGGCTCTGGATAGGATTGTATTGGCTTAAATCTGTAAAAGCTTTTCAAAAAACCTAAGGGATTTGGATACCGATTCCTCTTAAGTTGGATGTGCAAATCCTCCTCCGGTCTTTGAGAAATCCAATCATAACCTTCTTTGCTGTCCAGGCCACCTTCACCCTTACCCTTCCGATGCTGTTCTATTATCCTCATTTGGACTGTCCCTTTCACAGCTTCAGCTTCACCCAGTGAAAGCAGGATTGGCTCTGCCCTGGCCAACACCCTTGATGCTGTTTTCTCTGCAAAATCATTAGCAACTCCACAACCAACACTGTCATCAGATACATGATAACGCTGCTTCTTCCTTGGCAAACAGCTGCAGGAAGGTGGCAAAATTCACGCCACTCTCCTGTGAATACTACACTCCACCAGCGAGTACAGTGAATGTAATTACTTCGTGTGAATATTGTCACACCAGCAAAAGCACAGAAATAGCGTTTCGATCTTTCCTATTACTCTCTTACTGTCCTGAGAACTGATAAAAGCTCCTAGAAAATGGATCCTCAGACTATTTTATGGCTCTCCTCTGAGGCTCTTAACTAATGATTGGGGAAAGAATCTCTATCTACCCCCGTTCTGAGATCCTTTCCTTAAGTGACTACTCTTCGCTATTGCTAGAGGCACAATACTAGGATATCTAGCATGGGAGAAAACTTCCTAGTTCCTTGTAACAGATAGGCCTTTAGCAACGGATAAACAAAATGTCTAATGAACCATACCAGCACCCAGCACACACTGAAATTCACACTAAAAATCTCTGCTCCCCAGATGCACAGAAGGAAAGGGTCAGAAATTGCCATCTGAGCTGTGGTCTAGGCACTCTGGCAGCATACCTCTTTCAAACGAATTCTTGATGTCATTGACTTCAACCTGAGAGCCAGGAACTCTAAAAATACCCTGTTGCTGAAGGCCTGAAAAAGAACAAATTTTTTTTTTTTTAAAAAAGATCTGTACAACAGTGTTGGAAACAACTCCAAACCTTAGTAAGTCAATTGTTTAGTTTTATTGAAACCTGAGATTTAATGTGTGACATTCAACACAATACACTACTATTTGGTGGAGAACAGTGAAAACTAATAGCAGATGTATCTGAAAAGAAATGCTCAGAGAACCAATTGCTTGCCCTCAACAACTCATGAACAGGAAGATCCTCGGACAGAAGTCAGTCATGGATCAAAATCCTATAATGATTTTCCATATTGATCAATGCAACACTAGACAAACACAGCTACAGAGCTGATGCAGAGCCTCCTTGCCCTTGTGCGTCAAAATCCAGGGCAAAAAAGAGCTCTGGAGGCTCCCTTTCGATCATTGCTGCAGTGGGGAAAAACTAAGTGATTTCTGAAGTAGAGGGAGATGACACCTGATGGGGTGACACTAAACGGAGATGAACTGCGTGGCTTGGAGGTGGTGGCTGGCACGGAGTGTGGCACAGTCGCCTTGAAAGATCTCATGCAGCAGGTCCTTTGAGAGGGTTTTCTGTTGTAGCTATAGGCACTGAAAAGTCCTACACTGACAGAGACCTGTCTCCTTCTCCATGCATGTAAGGGAGAAGAAAGGAACAGAATACAGTATATAAAGTTCATTTCTACCCATAATCTCCAATCAGGCCCCCCTAGATCAAAGCACTGGAAGAGCTCCTATGGCCTGGGGCCTAAGCAAACAACTTAACCTGAATAAGTACTAACAGGACCTAAATATTTGTCACTCGGCCAATGTTACATCACAGTTGATGCTATTATAATTATAACCTGAGCCCAGGCAGCTAGGGCTGAGGGCATCTCTATTACATTTCACTGCTAATTGCAAGTACTTAACTTACTTAGCAGAAATTTTCTACTGACAGGACTGAATTAACTTACCATATAAATTGATGTAGCGAATGCAGCTTTCTACTACGAGTGGAATAGCCTGTCCTGAATCCTTCGGGAAAGAAAAATGAAAGTAAAATCTTACTGGTTTATTGACAACAATGCACTGGAAACGTATCAAAGACTGCAAAAACTCAGATTTGAAAATCAGTGCCATTGAGGATAGTTAGAGGATAGGCAAGAGGAGGAGGCGCTACACACAAAGCCATCAAGTGGTGCTGAATACCCCACGCGCAGTCAGTTATGCACAAAAAAGCTGTCACTAAGCGCGTGCAACACTGTTACCCGTTTTTTAGTTGAGACAGGGGACCGGTGCAACTGGATCGGGGCTATTCCACTTCAAAGGTGCAATTCTGAGCCAAACCCAAAGCTGTGCTATACCTGCCTGATGAAACAAGCTTCCAGTTACAGAGCTTGCAACAAAACCTCCACCTAAAGACAGGGCCGCTGTGGGCCGGCACTGCCGAAGCTGCGGGTGAACTGAACTGCCTGCGCCTGACCCTGCAGTGAAGTTGGGCTTCTGTCTCGAAGCCACTTCCCTCAAGGCCCCCACGGAGGGGGCCGGGCAGAAACCCGCAGACGGGTTTGACCCCGTGAGCAGACGCTCGTTTTCCTTAGGGGCTTGGCCTGGCTCTCGGTTTTTTCCAGCAGGGCCCAGCACCACCTCTCTGGTTAGTTCACCCCGTCCCAGAGACGGGCCTCTAGTAAATACCTGATTTCTCGTTCGCGCATTCCTTCTTCCTCTGAGAACAGAGAAAAGCAGCAGAGCGGGAGAGAAAGAAAAGATTAAGCAAGGATAAGTTCAGTTAAAGGTGAGTCTCTCTTTCGGAGGCCATGAACGCTCAAATGCAATGGCAGCTTAGCAGGGCCGGAAGCAGGCTCTCAGGTTGTCCGCCGCCCTCCCTCCCCGTTTAGGGTGCTGCCTCTGAGCCTCAGTGACAGACGGAAACATCCTCTCGGACCCGCTCCC